AACAGTGGTAGACAGTTGGAACAAGTTACATGAGGTGGTGGTGGTGGAAACCAAAACCGTCAGTAGTTTCGAAGCATTAGAACAGAGTACTGGGAAGACAGGACACCACGAGCTTAGCTCTCATCCTGTAACTTCACTGGAGTAATTACTGTACATATGCACACAAACATTGTTTCGACAACAAAATTCATGATGGCCGCCGACAAGGAAATAATACGACAGAGCTGGATTTTGGTGGATTCAGTGAGAAAAGTATTAATATGAACAGTCTGCTCAAGAAGTTCCAAAATTAGACATTGTAAACTATCATGTGGAAATAATCAGGAATTTCAAAGAAAGTAATGATCACTTGAGTAGCAAAGTATCAGATCTTGAAGGGGCTAGTGAAAGAATTATGCAAGTCAAGAATCATTGGGAAGCTAAAAGCAAAGCCATGCAGGAGGAAAATATAGTATTGAAAATAGATTTTGAAGAAGTTAAAGCAAAGTTAAAGCAACATGAATGACTACAGTAGGTTAGGTAAGGAAATCCAACAGGAAAAGAGCTCTCAGTACAGATGGAGGAAGTTACACAGGGAATAGAACAGTGCAAGGATGATATTCAACTCGCCTATGCACGAGTGGCCAGGGAGAAGGAAATAAGTAGTGGTAAGGGCAGCCAAAATTTATTGATTTTCTGGAAGGTTTTTCTGGTGGGGGTGGTAGATTGTTTCATGCAGCTCTGTGAGGGAGCCAGGTGCGGACTCTGGTCCCCGGTACTTGCGTGCCTGATGATCTTTTAGTATGGAGCAATCTCTGCAAGATAGCTTCAACTAACCACTGAGGGGCTCCCTTCAAATAAAAACACACATATCCAAGTCTTACTGTGTTTAGTACACATTAGGAAGACACAGGATGAAGTAATCACTTGTTCCATCGACAGGTGTGATGCAGCAGTGGAGACTCTCCGTGTATGGGAGAGTGTCGTGCTGATTGTGTTAGATGGGCTTATAGGTTGCTGTTACTTATGTGTATCCAATGTGTGGATTAACAGATTTACATATAATTGACAGAAACGGTTAGTACTGTACTGTATATTGGCCTACGTAATATGTACACCAGTATTACATGTAAATCTGTTTGTCATAAACAGCACAGCAACCCACTACTTTGCTGCTATTCTGTCTGGTGATGTCCATAAATAAATTCATACACCAGTGAGAAACAGTTGATTTGATGATGAGTACATGGTTTGAGGTAGCTCATCAGTAGTAAGCAATTAATAATAATATAATTTGTTTGAGTCTGGGTTTACTCAATTACAAAAATATAGATGTATTATAACTTTTTTTATATTGTATAAAAACAGGGTCAATAATAACTAAAATCAACATATAACTGCAATATCCCTTGGTAAACATAAGATAACCAAAATATTCAGATATCCAAATATTAGTTGGATAATTATACAAATTATATTATCAAAGTTGTTTTAACATTTTTATGCACTGAATCATATTTAATTAGGTTATGAGGGATGGTTTGCACAAACATGTTAATATGAAACACTTTTGGTATAATGAAGTTTTAATTAATTGAACTGTTAGGGTTATCTGAAAATTTGCTATGGCTGAATTCATGCTAGTTGGGTTCCACTGTACCGCATGTGGAGTAACTATTAAACATGCCATTTTCAGTGTGTTTGAGCAGTGTGTATCAAAGATTGTTGATAAATTATAATGTTGAACAATCTCAACATCCAAGGACGGGAATGTGTGCGCATCAATGTTGTCATTGCCTTCTAACTGTGAATAAATTGTGCTAATTGTGTTTTTTCCAGGCGTATTAATTTCTTCTTTCTGCCCCTCCCAACCCGTTGGCTCAGTCTTACAAGGAAAACTGGCACATGAATCTTTATCAGCAGCAGGAGAAGCATTAATGTGGCATTGTATTATTGTTTTGTATTATTTCCTCTTTCAGGCATTGTGCTGATAGGGGAACAAGAGGCCCTGAACTGGTGATTCCAGACATGGTACTTGAAGATCTGTCTAGGTCATGATGACGTATCTTGACCTGATGCCTAAAGTGACTCCCAACCCAATCCTTACCTATCCTCTTATCCTTCTATCCCAAGGCATGTATTTGGCCAAAGCACCCGGAGATGAGAATGACAGTGAACCGTCAGTCTAGGAGTGACAGTTTAAGGGCTCGCTGACAGTACATGTTTATATTTGGTCGGTTTGATTATTGGCAAATTGAACGCATTTTATAAAGATCTACTTTTACCCCGTTTTGTGCCACTGTTCATGGAAATGTTAAGCAAAGCCGAAATGGCATAATAATTGTAGCTCTATCAAGAATTTTGTAGGTCAAGTTACTCTCCATAGCTGAGAATAGTTTTACTTGATTTGCTTTCAATACTTTTTGTTGAACTTTATATTGATGTACATGTTGTAACTGTCCTTCTATATATATATAACTGTTGCATAATGACCAATATCATTCCTGATATCTCACATTAATCATCACTCCATCCACACACACAACCACAACCCCCATTTTACCCCCCCCCCACATACACACAACTTTCTATAAATTCATTACAGCAGACTAAAAGTAAAGGATAAAATCCAGAGATTGACAATGGGGTACAGGTTAACTGAGAAACACTAAATGAACAGTTCCAAAGTGTGTTTGTGCACAATGAGGTTTTTAATTGTGCCAGACACAATACCAATGCCAGAAAACACCAGAGAGTTCATAGAAATGTCTCGAGATGAAGTGGAAAAATTTACTCAAGAAGTTATAAGAAGAAATAAAGCTGTTGGCCCAGATGGAGTTTCACCTTGGGTGCTGAGAGAATGTGCAATTGAGCTAAGCATTTCACTTCAACTGATATTCCAGACATCTTTGTCCACATAAATCTTGGCAGATATATGGAAAAAGGCAAACATAGTTCCAATCTACAAAAATGGTAGCCAAGAAGACCCTCTAAATTCTAGACCTGTATCACTAACAAGAATGGTAGTCAAAACACTAGACAAAATAATTAAAACCAAATAGGTTGAACACCTGGAGAGTAATGACACAACACCAACAGTATGATTTTCAACAGGAAGATCATGTCACAAATTTACTTAGTTTTCAAACTAAATGTAACATATCAACTTGGTTTCAAACTTCTAATTAATCTAGATAAAATAAATGCTTGGAGCACCATATGGCAAATGGAATATATCATAATTAAGTGCCATGTTATGGAATGTGAAATAGAAGAAAATAGACCACACAACTTAAAAATTGTGGAAAGGAATTAAAGAACTAAGAGATATAAGGGTGGGCACATCAATACACTGGAAAAGTTGCAAAGGCATGCTAGAAAATGGCTTTTGGAATTTAAAAACAAGAGTTACGACGAGAGGCTAGAGGTGTTAATATGCCAAAACTAGAAAATAGAAGAAAAAGGTGATATAATCACCACTTACAAAATAATAACAGAAGTGACCAAATTGACAAAGGAATTTCTGAAACCAGCAACTTCAAGAACAAGAAGGCACAGATTCAAGCTAAGGAAACAAAGGTACCCAAAAAATATTATAAAGTTTTTTTTGCAAACAAGGGTGGTAGACGGTTGGAACAAGTCAAGTGAGAAAGTGGCGAAAGCCAAAACCGTCGGTAGATTCAAAACGTTGTACGAAATAGTACTGGGAAGACGGGACACCATGAGCATAACTCTCATCCTGTAACTACACTCGGCTAATTACCCCTTAGGCAATCACACTCGCACACCCCCTCTTCCCCATCGAACAATCCCCTACCCTACTATCACCACCTGATGCTCATTGCATTCACTTACCTTATTACACCAGCTTGTGCTCATTATATCCTCTGTGTATAGATTCGTTGCACATCATGTGCTCATTAAACTACCTCCTTCATACCATGATATATATCTACCATCCCTGGGATAACTTTGAGTGGCATCTTGTGATTTAAACAAGATCAAATTAAGTAAACATAGAAAATTTGCTATTTTAATTACCTATAAAATGCATCTCATGAACTGTTTTCATCATGTACTTATTGATCCTGTTCATCTAATTTTTTGCCACCCCTCCCTCCAACTTATACTAAAGTCAAGAAGAATGCAGCCTTGTTAGGCATGTCTGTAGTATTGGAGTATTGCATATACAGTACCTGTAGCATGTTTTTAATTGGTAATTAAAAAAGTCAATATTTTTAAGAGCATTCCTAAAAAAAGGCAATTCCATTGTTGTAATTTCTGCCATTAATTAGTTTTGGCGAGTGCATGGCAGTTCTCCGGGTGCTTTTTGGTCGTCCTCTGGAGTCGTTGTTGGCAGTTGAGGATGCTGTAATATGTCCTCGATCAGTATTGTCCTGTTTAAGGAGATGGAGATGAGTGACAGTATGAGGTCTATTTGGAGGCTAGTATTGATGGCTCTTCAGAAGATCTGGTGTTTGACATCCTTACCACATTACAGCGATGTTGCGAGGTCTTTGGCCAGATCTAAATCTGGCTTAAGGTTGGTACCAGATGCGATGTTCCTGTTGGCTGAGGCAGTGAAGGAGATTCTTGCAGTGTTTGTGTGTGTTACTGTGATGCCAAGGGGTTATTTTTGTGTGGTTATATACAACAAATTTGTGAATAATGTGCCAAAAATGATTTGGTTACTCTTAATGCAGAAATTCCAGGTGCAAGAGGGCTCAAAAATGTTACATTAGTTGAACATATTGGCCAAACCTCATCTGCTGGAAACATAAATATTTAAGCAAATTGGTACACCTTAATTATGCACTGTACTTATGGATTGAGCATGGAATATGACAATGCATTTTGTCCCTCTTGAGAAGCCTCATTCCTTGTAATATTGGTAATTTGCTGAAGTAGAGTGCACTAGTGTATCCTGTGTTAAGATGCTTTTCCTTCCTCGAGTCACACCGTGATGGTAGTGACTATCCTTTTAATTGTTTTGGTGCTTCAACGTGCCGTATCTTTGACAGGTTTTCCTGTGCGACTTCTATATAGAGGACTCGAGTGAAGACGTGCCCCGATACCTGGGATGCTCGTACATCTTGCCATCAAACATGAAAGAAAATTATGGTGTTGCAAATCTTCCAATTACGTCTCCCAAGCACATACCAATTGGGCAGTTAACAGGTGAGCCTCACAATGAATGGTCAGATGAGCTGAAGCTGTTAATATGCTTGAAGTAGTGTGATATGTTCATTAATGACCAGTAATTAAAGATGTACAGGAATGCCACCTAACCTATGACATTGTATATTTCATTATTGTGGCATTATATTTATCATTGTGAAGATAAGACAGTCAAGAACATGTTGCAAAGAGATAAGATAAGCATGGCATAGGATAAAAGTACCCTTAACAAATGGTATTACTGTACTTGTACCTGGTTGATTACCTGGTTGATGGGGTTCTGGGAGTTCTTCTACTCCCCAAGCCCGGCCCGAGGCCAGGCTCGACTTGTGAGAGTTTGGTCCACCAGGCTGTTGCTTGGAGCGGCCCGCAGGCCCACATACCCACCACAGCCCGGTTGGTCCGGCACTCCTTGGAGAAATAAATCTAGTTTCCTCTTGAAAATGTCCACGGTTGTTCCGGCAATATTTCTTATGCTTGCTGGGAGGACGTTGAACAACCGCGGACCTCTGATGTTTATACAGTGTTCTCTGATTGTGCCTATGGCACCTCTGCTCTTCATTGGTTCTATTCTACATTTTCTTCCATGTCGTTCACTCCAGTACGTTGTTATTTTACTGTGTAGATTTGGTACTTGGCCCTCCAGTATCTTCCAGGTGTATATTATTTGATATCTCTCTCGTCTTCTTTCTAGTGAGTACATTTGGAGGGCTTTGAGACGATCCCAATAATTTAGGTGCTTTATTGCGTCTATGCGTGCCGTATATGTTCTCTGTATTCCCTCTATTTCAGCAATCTCTCCTGCTTTGAAGGGGGAAGTGAGTACTGAGCAGTACTCAAGACGGGACAACACAAGTGCCTTGAAGAGTACAACCATTGTGATGGGATCCCTGGATTTGAAAGTTCTCGTAATCCATCCTATCATTTTTCTGGCTGTCGCAATATTTGCTTGGTTATGCTCCTTAAACGTTAGGTCGTCCGACATTATTATTCCCAAATCCTTTACATGCTGTTTTCCTACTATGGGTACATTTGATTGTGTTTTGTACTCTGTATTATGTTTAAGGTCCTCATTTTTACCGTACCTGAGTACCTGGAATTTATCACTGTTAAACATCATGTTATTTTCTGATGCCCAGTCGAAAACTTTATTAATATCAGCTTGAAGTTTTTCAATGTCCTCAGCCGAGGTAATTTTCATACTGATTTTTGTGTCATCTGCAAAGGATGATACGAAGCTGTGACTTGTATTTTTGTCTATATCTGATATGAGAATAAGGAAAAGCAGTGGTGCAAGGACTGTACCCTGAGGTACAGAGCTTTTCACTGCACTTGGACTAGATTTTATATGGTTGACTGTTACTCGCTGAGTCCTGTTTGACAGAAAACTGAGTATCCAGCGTCCTACTTTACCGGTTATTCCCATTGACTTCATTTTGTGTGCTATCACGCCATGGTCACATTTATCGAAGGCCTTTGCGAAGTCCGTGTATATCACATCAGCATTCTGTTTCTCTTCTAATGCCTCAGTGACTTTGTCGTAGTGCTCAAGTAGCTGTGAGAGGCACGATCTTCCCGCTCGAAATCCATGTTGGCCTGGGTTGTGAAGGTCATTGGTCTCCATGAAATTGGTGACCTGACTCCTAATCACTCTCTCAAATACTTTTATGATGTGCGATGTTAGTGCAACTGGTCTATAATTTTTTGCCAATGCTTTGCTCCCTCCCTTGTGTAGAGGGGCTATGTCTGCTACTTTAAGTGCATCTGGTATCTCCCCCGTGTCCAAGCTCTTCCTCCACACTATACTGAGTGCCTGTGCTACCGGCACTTTGCATTTCTTTATAAATATTGAATTCCATGAGTCTGGACCTGGGGCCGAGTGCATGGGCATGTTTTCAATTTCTTTTTCAAAATTTAGTGCGCTCGTGTTTATATCAGTTATATATACCGGGGTTTGAATATCCCGCATAAAGAAATTGTCTGGATCTTCCACCTTCATGTTGTTTATTGGAGTGCTAAACATGTCCTCATACTGCTTTTTTAGGATTTCACTAATTTCTTTGTCATCCTCCGTGTATGAACCTTCACTTGTACGAATAGGTCCAATACTGGCAGTGGTTTTTGCTTTTGATTTCGCATATGAGAAGAAATATTTTGGATTTTTCTTTATTTCCTGAATTGCTTTCTGTTCTAACTGCCTTTCTTCAGTTTCATATGAGTGTTTCAATTTCCGCTCGATTTCTTCAATCTCCCTATTTAAATTATTCCTTCTTTGACGGGAAATTCGTGTCTGCATAAGCAGTTCCGTTATTTTTTTCCTGCGTTTATAGTGTCGTCTGCGTTCTCTTTCTACGTTAGATCTCTTTCTGGCTTTCCTCAAAGGAACATGTTTCAGACAGACTTGATACGCTTCTGAAGTAAGTTTTTCTATTCCTTCTGTAGGACTTGTATTATTTAGAACAGTTCCCCATGGAATGTTTGTAAGTTCCCTGTTTATTATCTCCCAGTCTATCCTTTTATTATTAAAATTGAATTTACTGAATAGCCCCTCTCGCTTTATCAACGTTTTAGGTCTATTCTGAGTATTGATGGTCGTTTGCACTTCAATGAGTTTGTGATCTGAGTATGTGGTATCTGATATCGTAATGTCTCTGATAATGTCTTCATTGTTCGTAAAGACCAGATCTAGAATATTTTCATTTCTCGTTGGCTCCGATATCTGCTGATTGAGTGAAAATTTGTCACAGAATCTAAGTAGTTCTCTAATCTGTGGTTGGTTAGGTCCTGATAGATTTCCTGGTATAATATTATTGTTTGCTATTTTCCACCTGAGACTAGGCAAGTTGAAGTCACCTAGGAAAATAATATCAGGTATCGGGTTCTCCAAATTATCAAGGCTATTTTCTATTTTGCTTATCTGTTCTGTGAATTCCTCAGCCGTTGCATCTGGCGGTTTGTATATTAGTATAATCACTAAATTTATTTTCTCTATTTTTAATCCCAGTACCTCTACCACCTCATTTGTAATGCTTAGGAGCTCCGAGCATACAAGGTCTTCCCTAATATACAGACCCACTCCTCCATGTGACCTAATTTTCCTATCACACCTGTATAGGTTATATCCTGGAATCCAGATCTCACTGTCCAACAATTCCCCTGCATGGGTTTCTGTGAAAGCTCCAAATACTGCATTTGACTCCGTGAGGAGGCCATTTATGAACTGTACTTTGTTGTTTGTTCTTGTTTTCAGTCCTTGTATGTTGGCAAAGATGAATGAGGTTACTCTATTAGTGATAGTTTGAATGGGAGACTTTTTCGGCACGTCCATTAATCGTGGACATAATGAGTTTGTTCTGACCAGTACTGATTGTTATAGGGCAGTTTTCTGTCGTATTTGTAGTTCCCTTTCGGTGGGTAATTGTATCTGTAATTCTGGAATGCCAGTGGATCTGTCATCCAGTCCCATACACTCTCCATGCTGCTCCTTTTGAATTCTCTGCCGGTCTGGTATAAAAAATTTATAGAGTTTCCTCCAAATTCATTATCCTGCTTGCCACTCTTTATGTAGCGTTCCGTGCCTTTCACGTGAAAGTGTGGGCAGCTAAGGTCATAGCATTTTCTGTCCTCCAGTGAGGTTTGGCACATGTCAGGATGGAAAAACCTACATATTGATCCAAATCGACACTCACCTTTCCTAGGCATATTTAAACATTTTTTGGGATGTTGGTAACTGCATTCTAATCCTTTCTTATTACCAGCATATCTATGTCTGCATATGCCCTTTGCATAAAATTTGCATAAGTCTGTCCTTCTGTTCTGAATTGCTCTATCGAGAACCGTCGTGGTGTCTGTACCTATCGAGCTGTCAGGTACACTTTCTAGTTTAATGTCATCTACATCCAGGCCTACTGAGTCAGAGTTTGCAACTTCCTGAGTTTCAGCCTCAGTTTCATCCCTGACTATAGCCTCCGCCCCTTGTATATTAGAATTGTTGTTCCTTTCCCACTCCTTCTGGATGGCTGGTAGGCTTCCAATGAATGATGTTTTCCGTTCATGCGTCATGTTATCTAGAAGGTTTTTTAGGATATTCCAAGCTGGCAGGTCATTTTTACACACCCAGAGCAAGTGGCCATCTCTCAGTGCCGTAGTGTTACTCACTCCTGTACAAGCCGAATGGAATCTAGTCTTACAGATATAACATTCAATTCCCGTTACCTTCGTCTTTAAGAAGTTGTTACAGTGGCCACAAATTTGTTTATTTACTCCCATATTGCCTTGTTTTGTTGTATATATCTATATATTTATAATATTATATGTATATTGTATATTTGTAACAATATATATGTATATATATTTATATGTTTAATATTATATGTATATCGTATATTTGTAATATTATGTATGTTATTTTGTTCAAACTTTATGGCAGGTACTTAGCGTAGGTAGCGAGGCTGGTCCCCCGGTCAGTACAGGTGACCTCTTGTGGCCCAGGTTGATGTCACCAGTTTCCAGTTACCCGATTTATAACCACTGATGCCGCCTCTTGCCACTATTCTATATTTCTAGTGTTCTATATTTATAATATTCACTTCCAACTTATATGTTGTTGTGATACCCGTTCCACATCACTGTTCCACGAATCACCGTTCACTATTTTTTTTGTTTCGTTTTTTTTTTATCCTAATACACGCATGTACACAAAGCCTCGTTCACTGGCTCACACGTGGTCTCCCGTTTATTCTCTATTTAACACAAAGTTCTATTGTTAATGACTATTTTCAATTTTCCAGCGGTCACTATGCACTTTGTTATGTCTGTAATCCGTAATCCACGGCAGTAGTCCTACGAATCCCTGTTAATGTCACGATTTTAACGGAGCGCGCACGGTACGTCTACCCCCTCCCTCGACCTCGACTCGACCCACTGCCCACTTGTACTGTCTGTGATTACTAATGCACATCATATGGGGATAACTGCGATCTGAACTTCGTAGACATTTG